TTTCTTTGAAAAATAAAACCTAGAAATGTTGTCGGTCAGCGGTCCTCACAGTTAAGCCAAAATAAACCTTTTCTGTGACAAATTAGCTGAAAAAGTCCTATTCATCCAGGAACATGAATATGAGCTGAAGTCCAAAATATGTTCTTTAACATTCTGTACCTGTACTACATACTCTATGTGAAGTTCAACTCTGTAACAAATACGCACTTAAATTGACACATGGTTTTGTAAATGGTTTATTACTGGTAGTTATGAAAATATGTTCAGATTGCTTTTTTTTTTTTTTTTTTTTTTATAATTTCTTACAGCTCTACACTCCATAAAGCAGTGAACAAATGGATTATGATGTGAAAAGACTTCTCTGGGACCACTGAGGTGGTTTTGACACTTGTGTTCCTGCTGTAGACGCTGATCCCATGAGTTCACCGTTACAGGAGTCACTGGAACTTCAGACAGTGTTAACTGTGGGGAATCCTCATCAGGTTAAAAAAAGGTCATCAGAATAAAATTTAAAAAATCATTAGCATTAATTAATGTTTTGTTTGTTTTATTTTGAGGTTCTGTGTGTGAGAGTGATCTGTTTTTAAAACTTTGCCAATAACCTCTGGAATCCACTGTTTGTCTGGTAGCTCTCAGAAAGTAATCCTTGGCTGTAGTTCTACATTTGATTATTTTTGGGGGTCAGTCCAGTTCAGGATGGCCATCATGGCTAGTCAACTTAAGACAATGCAAAAAATAAAATAAAAACAAGCCAATTATGTTAGTAGTAGAGAGTCATCCTGAACACAACACAACTTCTGACTTTGTTTCCTCCAATCCTCATTTGTTTTATAAAACCATTAACTCTGTTCTTAATGCCCCACAATCATCCAGCTCAGAGAACTCCACTGAAGAATGTGAGAACTTCCGGAGCTTTGCAAGCAGTAGAGCCCTCCTGTCTGACCCCTCCATCTCTGTCACATGCTCTGCTGTTTTCAGTTTGAGCTTGACACTTTGCCCTGTTTACTAGAGATAACTGGTCATATGGTGTTGTGGGTTACAAGATTGAATTAAAGGAAAAATAAGCAGACACGTACCCAGCTTCAGTTCTCTGTTTACTTTCACTTTGGTTTCTCCCTCTAGTCACACTCCGTACAGCAAGTTTTAAACATACAGTCTTTGAGCACCCACTGGTGTCCTTTATATCCCATAACAAACACAACCTTTTCCCTTTCCTTCAAGAAATTACTTAGATGTAACATTTTCTTGTGTTGTACTTTAACAAAACAGTAGTACATCTTTACTGGTCTTAAAGAACAATTGTACCAGTCTGAACAGCAGTAATTTACATTTTGTTTTCACTTTATCTTACAAAACCTGTTAACTATCTTGGTGCATTTCTAGATCTCTGACTTCTTCTAAGCTCAGCAGCAGATTCATTAGTGTTTCCAGGAAGTGCAAAGGTATCCAGCACAGTGTCGTTGTTTTGTTCTGAGCCAGTTCAGGTTTGTTCTGGGAAGTGTGCAAGTTTTAAAGCATACCACTTGCGTCTGGCGTTTTGTCCAACTTTCTTCATGACGGTCCGTGGTTCTGTAAATCTTAAAGATCCTTTGGGAACATGCTCAGGTCTGCGAACACGAACAGTGTCACCCACTTTGACTGTTGATGTTTTAGCTCATATTTTCTTGTCTGTGTATTCCTTCATTTTATTCTGCTTTTGTTTCACCGTCTTTTCGATTTGGGTGTGTGGTTTGCTTTTCAGTGCTACTGGGAGTATGTTTAAGACTGGGCTTAAGACTGTGCACCGCCATAGCCTGTGTTTCTGTGGCAGCGCACAGAAGTGCAGCAGCTTCTCATGCTCCCAGGATTAAGCCTTATTTTATTTATTTTAATTTCTATGAGGCAGTTTTCGGCACTAGTTCCGTGTTAAATTCCCAGCTCAAGTACAGCTCAACTGAACTGATGGCCATCAGAGACAGTTCAGTTATTAATATATCACCGAGGCTGAAATCTGCACTCGGCAGACAGCGGCTCCCGAGGACAACAGAATGGTGCAGCAAAGTGTGAGGAGCAACAGTCAAGAGGAAAGGATGTGCCTGGAAACAGAAGAGGGGAAAACGGGCGGGCACGTTGGCCCAGCTAAAGGCTAGAAGACCATCAATTCCTACTTTCTTTCTGGCCAATGTCTGCTCACTGGATAACAAAATGGACTTGTTACATCTGAGGATGAGTGTTTCTACAGAGATGAAGAAGTGTGCTTTCTTTGCCTAACGGAAACCTGGCTTAACAACAACATGCCAGACTCAGCTTTCCAGATTAACAGTCTTCAGTTATTCTATTCCGAGCAGACCGTGACCATCGGTCGGGTAAAACATGGGGGGGACGGACTCTGTATGTTTGTGAGTAATCTGCATATTTATGTGTATCTTATCTCAGCTTTATAACCTGAACCCCACACACACTGCTTTTTGAACTGAGAAAGCTTCTCGGATGAGAAGTGAAACGTCCTCTGTTACAAATAAATTCAGTTGTTTTTGTCTTCAATGTTTTTGAATTTGGGAATAAGGATTGGTGTACAAACTGTGGACTGGTAAAAAGCTACTGCTCTGAGGCGATAGAATTTATTAATATGAAATTTGGCCATACTATCTGCCACAGGAGTTTACTGCAGTGTTTGTCATTGTAGTGATGTAGCTGTTAGCTTCACTACTAATTAATTATTCTTAAAGCTAATTCAAGCACAAATAATATTAATTGTTTATTACAACGGATTCTTTTCTTTTTCGAGTTAAATTTATTCCATGTGACCAAGATAACTGTGAGTGGATTGTTTAATCAGTGACATGAGATGCCATATTATCTTTGACCCATCATAATAAATGCGGTCATTTATTTAACAGAATCAAAATTTAACATCAAACATGTACACATTGATTTGCTGATCTGTTTCTGATTAATAAACTTGTCACGCTTTACTAACAAGACAACAGAACATTACTGATTGAGGCTGATTCACCTCTGAAGGCATCTAGATTACTGGCGAATAGAAAAGTTAAAGAGGAGACATAGATTTAAAGATTTAAAGGGAGGTTTAGATGGAAGCTATGTGTGAAACCAGAACTTTGCACCCTTCCTCCGACACCCGCTCAGCTTTCCGGTACACTTCAGGACGTGCAGTGACTTTGTTACCTTAGCAGAGGATGCATCCACTCCGGAACAGAAGTCCATTAGTACGATCCCTTTACAGCGTCTTCGGTTAAAGTAGCTGGGAATCTTTAGAATAAATGCATATACTCAGTTCCAACAAATAAGCTTCCTTAGAAGTGGAGCATTTACTGCTCTGGTTGAGTGCACAGCGATGCGAGCCGTGACTCCGCTAAATGGAGCGACCTCTTGGCACACGGTCCCATCCATCTGCTCCAAGTTCTGAAGACTTAGCCCTAAGACTTAAGGCTCCGACTGAGTTCCAGCACTGAACTCCAGGACTGCACTTCAGGACTGAACTGAGTTCCAGGACCGAACTCCAGGACCGAACCGAATAGTTCCACGAAGTGTTCCTTTTAAAAGGGTATACACTTCCTGTTACGTGGTACTTCCTGATTGGTTGAAACAACCAGCAGGGGGGTGGTTCTAGTGATGTCAAGAGGGTCACTAGAAGTCAAAAGACAGCAGGAATGTTTACGAATGGTTAGTACAGACAGAGAAATGTTATGACGATGTGAGACAAACGCAGGTGCCAGTTGAAATTATTTACTGTCTGCTAGTTTTAAAAACAAGACACTTTGTTCTAATAACTCGTCTCTGTTTGTCTCTGACTTTCGACCGACATCACTACTCCTCATTCAGACAGAAAACTAAAATGCACTCTTACTTTAAGCAGGGAGACACCCCTCTGGACTGTGTGTACACTAACATTTGCGGTGCGTACAGAGCGCTTCCTCGACCCCATCTTGGCCTCTCTGACCACTTCTCAATCCTGCTGGTGCCAATATATTGTCTGCTGATGAGATGGATTAAGCCAACAAAGAAGACAGTCACAGTTTGGCCCAGGGATGTAGACTCTGTACTCCAGGTTTTCAGTGCACAGATTGGCAGGTGGTTACATATGAGGGAGCGGTGGACCTGGAGGAATGCACCTCCTCTGTTCTTGGCTTCATCTCCAAGTGCGCTAATGGTGTCCTCACCACTAGGACAGTAACCTGTTATCCGAATCAGAAACCCTGGCTGAATGCTGAGGTAAGAGCTCTGCTTAGGAAAAGTGACATGATGGTAAAAACTGGGCAGAATGTCCATCAGTTTCACGTGGTTAAAGTCCCCTGCAACCACATAAAATGCCTCTAGGCGCTTCATCTGCAGTGAGCTAAGTGTGTCATACAGCTCCTTTGATGCTTTGTTAGCATTAACACCCAGCGGGATGTAAACAATAATGATGTAGTGAACTAAGCCTCTGACATCAATCTGTCTCTGAAGACCTTCAGGGGACAGGAACTGTTATTTCATTGATTTGAATCCAGAAATACAAATTATCTCATCAAGAGACTATTTAATTGTATCCTGAATTAATCAATTGAAAGAACACTCTTCTTTTTTATATTATCATTACTATTTTAGAATATCTTGATAATCAAATGTGTGTTTAGTTCATACCATTTCTAAATGTTGAAGTGAACCACTCATTTAAATCAACTGTGAAACAGTATTAATGATTTTTAAACCTCAGCAGATTTTTGATCATACAGTTAAATGCCTATTTTTAAAGCTAGGGACGCTGCATTCAGGACAGGTGAGACATCAGCACGCCGAGAGGCGAGGAAAAGATTGACTGTAGGCATTGCAAGGGCCAAAGCCACATACACCCAGAAAATTCAGGGTCAGTTCATCACCAACGACCCCTGGTGTATGTGGAAGGGCATCAAGTGCATTACGAACTACAACGTCAGGGATGTACAATAGGGACCCTTCATTACCAGATGCACTCAATAAGTTCTATGCTTGCTTTGAGGATCCTAACACCCCTCCAGCACCAGACTTATACCACCACCCAGTGACATGCCCCTCTGTGTGACCACAGCAGATGTGAGGAAGACCCTCCAGGGAATCAACCCCCATAAGGCTGCAGGCCCAAAAAACTTCCTAGGGTGGGTACTGAAAGACTGAACACACCAGCTGTCTGAGGTGTTGGCGGACATCTTCAGCACCTCACTGTCAATGGCAGTTGTCCCTACCTGCTTTAAGTCCACCACTATTGACCCTGTACCCAAGTGCTCTATAGTGACAGGCCTGAATGACTACCGACCTAAAGCCTTAACATCGGTAGTCATGAAGTGCTTTGAGAGGCTGGTCATGACCCACATCAAGGACTCCATCGACGTCACTGTGGACCCACATCAGTACGCCTAGAACCGGAACCACTCCACTGCTGACACCATCTCATTGGTGGTCCATACAGCCCTCACCCACCTGGAGAGCAAAAATACTTACATCCGTCTGCTCTTTCTGGATTTCTCCTCAGTCTTCAACACCATCGTCCCACAGACCCTAGTGCAGAAGCTCTCTTTTCTTAGACTGAGTCCCACACTGGGGAACTGGATTCTGGACTTCCTGACCAGCAGATCTCAAACTGTCAGGATCCACAACACCGTCTCCTCCTCCATCACCCTCAGCACTGGCTCACCCCAGGGATGTGTGCTGAGCCCCCTCCTGTTCACTCCGCTGACACATGACTGCTCGGCTAGAGACCCCCAGCTGCCATATAGTGAAGTTTGCGGATGACAGTGGAACACATCACAAACAATGATGAGACCAAATACAGAAAGGTGGAACACCTGGTGCAGTGGTGTAGAGACAATAATCTCTGCATCATTGTGAAAAATACCAAGGAGATGGTGGTGGATTTAAGAAAGGACAAGAATCCTCTTCATCCCCTACACATCGGGAGAACAGCTGTGGAGGTGGTCTCCTGCTACAGGTACCTGGGGGTGCATATATCCAGTGACTTGACCTGGAGAGCCAACACTTCCTGTCTGGTCAAGAAAGCCCACAAGCATCTCTACTTCCTCAGGAAGCTGAAGAGAGCTGGACTTGGGAGCTATGTCCTGAGGAACAGCTATCGCTTCTATCTGATGTTCACTAGTCCACATTTAATGATTTTATTTGTTTGTTCTGGAAAAGTAGTTGTGTTTATTTTAATAAGATTTTTATGGTTAATATTTTTAGAGGTGATTTTTGGTTTATTTGATATGAGCCGTAGGTGAGTTGGCACTATTTCAAGGGAGTTTTGGGTAGGTAATGAAGAAGCAGCAGGGAAGTGTGAAAGACTAGATCTTTGCTTCCTGGACTGATTTCTAGACTGGACCATTAATTGTCAACAACCTAGATGTCCAACCCATCCATCCATTATCTTTACCTGCTTCTTCCATTTTTGGGTCATGGGGGTCGCCGGTGCCCATGTCCAGCAATCACTGTGTGAAGGGCGGGGTACACCCTGGATGGGTCGCAAGTCCATCACAGGGACACATAGAGACAAACGAGACAAACAACATTTCACACTCTCACTCACACCTAGGGACAATTTAGAGTTACCAATCAGCCTAACATGCATGTTTTTGGTCTGTGGGAGGAAACCTGAGTACCTGGAGGAAACCCACGCATGCACGGAGAGAACATGCAAACTCCACCCAGAAAGGCCCCCGGACCGGGATTTGAACCAGGGACCTGCTTGCTGAGAGGCAGCAGCTCTACCTGTGCCACCGTGCTTTTTGCAAAATCATAGATCCTAAAATGTTTCAAATTAGTAGCCCATAAAAGTCTTAACTAGTCTTACAGTGGAATTCATAATCTTCATTTCATCTGATGAAAATTATTTTGTACACTATATTATTTGTTTTATTAACCTCTTTTTAAACCAGGCAAATCCCACTGAGATTACAGATCTCTTTTGCAAGGGAGGTCTAGGCCTGAAGGCAGACTGACATGCATGCTTTTGTTCTGTGGAAGGAAACGGGAGTACCCGGAGAAAACCCATGCAAGCACGAGAAGAACATGCAAACTCGACACAGAAAGACCCCGGGTCCAACCGGGGATTGAACCCAGGACCTTCTTGCTGTGAGGCAACAGTGCTAACCACTGTGACATTGTGCTGCCTGTACTCTGAGCCTATTGAACCTGATACTCTTGATATTTATGACAATTTAGAGTTACCAATCAGCCTAACATGCATGTTTTTGGTCTGTGGGAGGAAACCGGAGTACCCGGAGTAAACCCACGCATGCACGGAGAGAACAAGCAAACTCCACCCAGAATGGCCCCTGGACCGGTGTTTGAACCAAGGACCTGCTCACTAAGAGGCAGCAGCTCTACCAGTTGCGCCACCATGCTGGATGTCCAACCGAATCAGCTAAGTTTTTAGAGATAAGTTCTGCTCCATTTAAGGTGGGATGGATTCCATCTCTCCACATCAGACCAGGTTTTCTCCAAAATGATAAATGGTAAAGGGACTGTACTTATATAGCGCCTTTCTATCTTATTTCAAGATACTCAAAGTGCTTTACACTACAGTCTGTACCCTCATTTACCCATCCACACTGCACTCTACAAGATCTCTACAAAGCTAATTGAACAAATCATTCTAAAGAGACTAATCAGTGCTTTAGGTCACATTCATACACTGATGGGACACACGTCAGAGGCTATGAGGGGTTCAGTGCCTTGCCCAGGGACACTTCAGCATTTGACTGCTGGTGGATTCGAACCCCCAATTCTTGCATTGGAGGACAACTGCCCTAAACACTCAGCCACAGCCGCCCCAAAAAAATGCACTCCAGTTGTCTACAAATTCTACCTTGTTTTCAGAGCACCACCTGAACGCCCAGCGGTTGAAAACCGACATACGGCTAAACATGTCATTGTTGGACAGGTTGGAGAGGGGGCTGGAGAAAACTATGCAGTCAGACATAGTTGTTTTTTTCAAAGTCACACACCGAAGCAACCTTATTTTTATTGATCTCTGATTTGCGTAGCTGAGTCTCATTTTCATTGATGTGTTTACTGTATTTAGCCTTAGCTTTAGCCAGTAGTTTCAGGTGGGATTCAGTGTCGCCTGCTGTGGTCCCTGGAATGCATTTGACTGTGGTTTGAGTCCCAGGTGCCACGTTTCGGGCTATGGAGCTGCCAACAACGAATATTTGCTCCTCAGCGAGTGTCTTACTATCCATCCATCCATTATCTGACAGACAGATATGACAGACCTTTTTTTCGAGCGGACCGCTGCAGCGAGCTAACGGGGAAATCACGGGGAGGCGGAGTGTGCATTTAAGTGAGTAAAAGTTGGTGCACGAACTGTACTGTTGTAAATAGCTCATGCTCGAAGGCTTTGGAGCAAATAACAGTGAAATGTCGGCCACACTATCTACCCCGCGAGTTCACGGTGACTTTCATCTCTGTCGTTTACATTCCTCCGGACGCTAATGCTAATGAATCACTGCAGGAGCTTCATGATATCATCAGCTCGCTGCAGAGCAAACACCCCGAGGCTCTTTATGTGGTAGCCGGAGACTTTAACCACGTGAATCTAAAGGACTGTCTCCCAAGCTTTTATCAACATGTGACAATTCCGACACGTGGAGACAAGACGCTGGACCGTGTTTACACGAATGTAAAAGATGCATACAAAGCCGAACCCCGCCCCCACCTAGGACTGTCAGACCACATCTCAATCTTCCTGGCTCCTGCTTACATGCCCCCGCTGAGACGCTCCAGACCGGTACAAAAGAAAGTTAAATGTTGGATCCAGGACAGTGGCCCCATACTGAGAGATTGTTTTGACCAAACAGACTGGCAGGTTTTCAGAGAAGCTGCTGAAAATGGAGGTTCGCTTGATCTTGACCAATACACATCCTCAGTTCTGGGTTACATTAGTACATGTACTGACACCGTCTCCACTATCAGAAATGTTAAAAGTTACCCAAACAGAAAACCTTGGCTGAATGCAGAGGTGCGTACCCTGCTGGAAGCCAGGAACACTGCCTACACGTCTGGAAACTCAGAGGAGCTGAGTAGGACAAGAAAAGAGCTGGTTGCTGGTATTAAGAAGGCCAAGGCCATATATGCACAGAGGATCGAGGGTCAATTCATCTCACAAGACCCTCGGAGCATGTGGAGGGGCATTAAGTGCATAACAGATTATAAAGGAAGGAGTGAACAATGCCCCAAAGACCCATCTCTGCCTGATGCCCTCAACAAGTTCTATGCACGCTTTGAAGACCCGAACAGACCACCCAGCACCAGACTCACCTCACCACCGGATGAAGAGCATCTCAGCGTGACCTCAGCAGAAGTAAGGAGTACTTTCTGGAGGATTAATCCGCACAAAGCAACTTGCCCAGACAACATCCCCGGAAAAGTGTTGAAGGAATGTGCTGATCAGCTCTGTGAGGTGCTGGCAGACATCTTTAACACCTCACTTACCCTGGAGACAGTTCTCACCTGCCTGAAGACTGCCACCATCATCCCAGTCCCAAAAAGCTCTACAGTGACTGGTCTGAATGACTATCGGCCAGTGGCCCTCACCCCGATAGTCGCTAAGTGCTTCGAAAAACTGGTCATGACTCACATCAAAACAACCATCAACATGAACGAGGACCCTCATCAGTATGCATACTATGAGAACCGATCAACAGAGGATGCCATCTCCTCTGTGGTCCACACTGCGCTCAACCACCTGGAGCAGAAAAACTCTTACGTCCGTATGCTCTTTGTGGACTTCACATCCGCCTTCAACACCATGATCCCCCAAACCCTGATGGACAAACTATCCACACTAGGACTAAGCCCCTCCATCTGCAACTGGGTACTAGACTTTTTAACAAACAGACCACAGTTAGTGAGGATCCACAACTTCTCCTCCTCCACCATAACCCTCAGCACTGGCTCTCCTCAGGGATGTGTGTTGAGCCCCCTCCTGTTTACTCTGCTTACTTATGATTGTGCAGCTACCCATCCAGGCTGTCACATTGTAAAGTTTGCAGATGATACAGCGGTGGTGGGATGCATCACAAACAATGATGAGTCCAGCTACAGGCAAGAGGTGGAACACCTGGAGAGCTGGTGCAGAGAGAATAACCTTCACATCAATGTGAAGAAGACAAAGGAGATGATTGTGGACTTCAGAAGGAACAAAAACATCTACACCCGCTGAACATAAGAGGATCTGCGGTGGAAGTGGTCTCCAGCTACAAGTACTTGGGTGTACACATGAATGACAACCTCAGCTGGAGCAACAACACCACCAGCCTGATCAAGAAAGCTCATCAGAGACTCTACTTCCTCAGACGGCTGAGGCGGGCTGGTCTGGGAGGCTCAGTCCTCACCTCCTTCTACAGGTGTGCAGTGGAGAGCATCCT